TTTTCTTCCTTTGTATTTTGAGGATCCAACTCTCATTTTTCATTTTTCCACTTTGGAAAATCAGCATTTATTTTATTCTGCTATCTAGATTAGGAGCTTATGCTATTTTCCGAGAGATTTTCTGGCGACTTCAGTTTCGTTCAAGTTTCGAGCTTTTGACTCCGTTTTTCATCGTCTACGTAATGGGAGATTGAGTATTTAATTTTAAAGCTCTTTACTTCGTTTTTGCTCTGATTTTACTTATAATTTTCATTAGAGTAAATTGGATTTGATTGATGATGGTGGAAATGCTTGAACTTGATTGCTTGCTTGAGTAGATAGAGCCGTTAATTACTTGTCGATCTCGACTAGACGACTAGGGTTAGCAATCTAATGCTCGTAGCTCGTTTATTCTGTGTGTCGATTGATTATCATCACGTATTGGTTATGACATGAGACTCCAGTGATCTAGTTTGCGAAATGCTCGTCTTTTGATCTTGCTTTCAATCAATTGTTCATTTTTAAGTGCTCAATTAGTGTTAATCAACCATCCAATCAATTGTTTAGAATGTTTAGGATTTTATTTTCGATTTTTGTGATTTGGACGATCATTTAGTAGACAAAGCTCCGAATAGCCTTCCTTCGAGATCGACCCGAGTCGGGTAGCTCGGTTATCCCTTGCCCATCAAATCTTTACTAAACAAAATGGCGCCGTTGCCCGGGAAGGCAAGTAGGACGCATAGTTTGCTATTTGATTGTCTCTTTTTCTTGTGTTTCTCTTGATTTTTGTGAACCTTGGTTAATTTTCGTGTTTCTCTCGATTTCTCTTGCTTTTTGTCACTTATTTGTTTTTGTTGCTCGTGTTTGACCTTGTTTCACATTGGTGCATTCACGGGTATAGTTGTTGTTGGTGTTTATGCGAGGTAGACGAAGGCGTGCACCCGTAGAGGAGACACCATCGATCGACCTTTTCGTTGAGCTTAATATCGAGGAACCACAACCGGAACCCGAAACCGAATCAATGGCGGGACAAGAAGATCAATTGCCACCACCACCTCCCCCGAACATGAGATATTTTGCACGGCCTATCATTGGAGACAACACTTCATGTCTTGTGCTCGGGGAGGCGGCCCGAAATTATGATCTCAAGACCATCCACCTAAACCAACTTCCATCATTCTACAGCTTAGCACAAGAAGATGCCCTCAACTTCATCCGAGACTTCTATGCAACCGTCAACACATTCCCACTCCAAGGACTAACCGAAAACCAACTCCGGATGAGATGCTTTCCCTACACGTTGAAGGATCGAGC